AATTATTTAGCATGAGTTTCAGGCTTCTCATTGTCACTGGAGACCACACCAGCCACCCCTGGGCGGTGGTTATGTGAATGAGCACAGGGAAAGTGCTCTGACACACACGGAAGTCCAAAAGAGCAGCTACCGACATCTATCTACATGGGAAATGTCCATTTCTCAGATCACAGGCAATGAGGACCGATTTTTTTAAAAAACGTGAATTTTCACTTGCATTTGAAATGAAACCACTGAAATTGTTTTTAGAGCATTTTGAGTTCAAATATTACAGAGTTGTAAAAGACATATACCAGTCTGTCTTCCTCATCATTTTACACTATTTTAGGTGAAAGTGGCATAAAGTCAGCCACCTTAAGGCAAATGATTCGCGGCACTCAGTACATTCACAGTATTGTGCAACCAACTCCATCAAGTTGCAGAATGTGTTCATCACCACAAAAGAACCTCACACCCATTAAGCAGCTGCGGTCCCCTACTGCCCAGGCCACGGCAACCACCATCTGCCTTCTTTATCTATTAGCTTACCTCTTCTGCAGATTTCAAAAGAATGACGTCATACAATATATGACCTTTAGTGTCTGGCTTCTCTTACAAAGCATAGTGTTTTCAGGGTTCATTCACATTCTATCATGTATCAGCATTTCAGTAACTGTTACAGCTAAATAATACCCCAATATCCCGATGTATAAAGAGACCATAATTTGTTTATCCATCCACCCACTGATGGACATCTGGACCGTCATCACCACCTTTTGGCAATTGTATACAGTGCAGTGATAACATGGGTATACGTGTATTTGTGTTTGAGTCCCTATTTTTAATTCTAAATTTATCTGGGAATATCTTAATTTCGCCTTCATTTTTGAGTGACAGTTTTACTAGCATAGAATTTTCTGTTGACGGTTTCTCCTTTTCCAATTTTAAAAACATCACCCCACTTCCCCCTGGCCTCTAAGGTTTCTGATGAGAAGTCTGCAGATGGCTCTTCACCTCACTGAGGACCCCCTGCATGTGCTAAGCCGCCTCTCTTGCCGTTTGCAGGGTGTGCTCTTGGTCCTGGGGTTTCAACTGTTTGATGGTAATGTGTCTTAGTGTGGATCTCTGCATTTATCCTTCTGGGGTTCAGTGCACTTCCTGAATGTGTAGATTTGCGTCTTTTCTCAAATTCGGGGAGTTAATGGCCATTATCCTTTCAAGTATTCTCTCTGTGCTCTCTCTCTCCTCTCCTTCTAAGATGCCCATCACGTGTACCTTAGTACACTTGATGCTACCCCACAAGTCTCTTAGGATCTGTTTATTTTTCTTCATTCTACTTCTTGCTCCTCAGACCGGATAATTCCAAGTGATCTAGGTTCAAGTTCACTGATTCTTTCTTCTGCCAGCTCAAATCTGCTACTGAAACTCTCTAGTGAGTTTCTCTCTTCATCTATTGTACTTTTCAGCACCAGAATTTCTTGCTTCTTTTTTTAAAACTTACATACCTTTACTGATATTCTCCATTTGTTAACATCTCATTCTGGTATCTTTTAGCAATTTGTCCATTGTTTGCCTTAGTTTCCTGAGCATATCTGAGGCGGATGACGTCGTGTTTGTCTAGTAAGTCCAATATCTGGGCTTCCTCAGAGACAGTTTTTGTTAATTTCTTCTGTGAATGGGCTACACTTTCTTTGCATGCTTTGTAATTTTTTGTGGAAAACTAGACATTTTGAGTATTATAATCTGGTAACCCAGGAAATGAGCTATCTCCCCCCTCTTCTGGATTTGTTTTGCTGCTTGGTATATGCTATAGCCATGTATATTTAGTGACTTTTCTAAACTATTTTTGTGAAGCATGTATTCTTTGTCACATATGGTGACAAAGAGGGGGGAGGGAGGGAGGGAGGGAGGGAGGGAAGACGACAGAAAGGAAGAACAGCCTCTTCCGCCTTTGCAGACTGTGGCTCTGTGCTGGGCACCCTGTCGCTTAGCCCGGCTGTTTATAGCTCTGCCTCAGCCTTCACTTCTGCCTGTCCTGAGCCTAGAAACTGGTCAGAAGCAAAAGACCTTCTCAGGCCTTTTCTGAGCTTGCATCCAGCTCTGGCCTTGAATGTAGCTTTCAAAATTCCCCGAGCAAACAGGGGCACTTTGGATTCTCTCGCATCTTTTCCTGCCTGGAAGTGACACTCTCGTGTGTGAAGCCCAGCTAATCTTGGCCCGGCTACTCCGGCTGTACCCGAGCCTGACACAAGGAGAAACGCCTGCAGCTTTTCAGCCTTCCTGCCCTGAACTCCAAGTTAGGTGAAAGACAGGCAAGTGAACTGGGTCAGTCCTTCAAGTAGCCCCCAGACAGGTTAGACAGACAGACACAAAGCTTTGCAAGCTCGTCCTGCTCCGTGCCCTCCAGGGCCGGGTCCAGAGCCCAGACTGGGAACGTGGCTGCTGCTGTCTTCCCGGCGGCTGCCATGACACGGAGGGGGTGGAGCAAAGGCAGGTGAAAATACCAAAAGGCTTTCCTACAATTTTTAGGAGGCCTTTTCCTGGATGCAACAATCACCTGGATGCTGTAAAGTTTGACTGTTTCCAGAGTTTTGACGAAGTTAGCTCTGCCACGTTCTGCTTGATTTGTGGAGCTGCGTACTCTGTCACTTTTGCTGACATCACCGCGCCATTTATTTGTGAATGATACAATTAGTGCCCAGAAACAAATCTCTGCTCAGCCCAAATTCCACAATACAAAACAATTTAAAACATAAGCCAGGACCTATACTGTATTCCAAAATAGACAAACCGAAGTTACACCTAATTTACCTGGCCATTCTGGGGACTCTTTTCCCCACAGCTAAAGCTTACCTTATTTTCTACAACACACCTTTCCTCTACCATGCCAATACTTTATGCATTAAAGCTTTTTAATAATTAATTTTTCAATTCAATTGAGAAAGAACAGTCTTTTCAACAAATGATACTGGGGCAACTTGGTGTTCACATGCAAAAGGATGAGAAGCCACATCACATACAAAACACAAAATGAAAATGGGTCACAGACCTGAATGTAAGAGCTAAAACTATAAAACCCCTAGAAGAAATACAGAAGTAAATCGTTGTAACTTTGGGTTGGCAAACTGTTCCTTAGATACAACCCCAAAACATAAGCGACAAAAAGAAAAAAACAGATGAACTCGAACTCATGAAAATTAAAAACTTTTGTGTATCAGGGGACACCATCAAGAAAGAAAAAATACAACCCATAGAATGAGACAATATAGTTCCAAATCATATATATCTAACATGGGACTTAAGTCCAGAATATAGAAAGAACTCCTACAGCTCAACAATTAAAACAGATAACTCAGTTTAAAAGCAGGCAAAGAATGTGAATAAACATTTCTCCAGAGAAGATATACTAATGGCCAGAAAGCACATGAAAAGACATTTAACATCATTAGTCATTAGGGAAATGCAAACCGAAGCCACAGTGAGATACCACTTCACACCCACTAGGATGGCTACAGTCAAAAAGAGAGACAAGTGTTGTTGAAGATGTGGAGAAACTGGAACCCTCTCACATTGCTGGTGGAAACGTAAAACGGTGCAGCCAATTACGAAAATAGTTTGGCAATTCCTCAAAAACATGGAATTACCGTGCAATCCAGTAATTTCATGCCTAGGTATATATACAAAAGAAATAAAAACAATGTTCACACAAAACTTGTACACAAATGTTCACAGCAGCATTATTTATAATGGCCTAAAAGTGGAAACCACCCAAATGTCCACCCATATGATGTATCATACAGTAGAAGGTCGCCTGGCAACAAGACGCTAAGTACCGGTATGTGCTGCAACATGAATGCGCCTTTAAAACGTGATGCCAAGTGTCAGGAAACAGTGACAACAGGCCACACACCACCTGACCCCATTTATATGAAATGTTTAGAACAGGCAAATCCATAGAGATAGAAAGTAGATCGGTAGTTGCCTGGGGCTGGAGTGGGATAGGGAAGCGGCAAGAATGGGAAATGCCTGCTAACAGATATTCTGAGCTTCTTTCTAGAATGTTAAAAACGTTCTGAAATTAGATGGTGGTGATGGTTTCATAACTCTGTGACTATACCCAAAACTACTGAACTGTACATTTTAAATGGGTGAATTTTATGTTATGTGAAAAATACTCCAATAAAGCATAAAAACACTTTTTGGACAATTAAAAAATAATAATAATTCATTGTACAAATGTCCATGTATAAACAGAAGACATAAACTCCACTCTAAACCTCTCCACTTTTAAACAGGCTCTGAGTCATTATGAATATCCATTTAGTTTTTCACTGTCACTTTCTACTGTCATCACGCTTTCCTGTAATAGCTTCACCCACTCTCTCCCTAATACATTGCTTCTTTTCTACAATGGACTGAAAAACCAAATAAACAACTCTCAAGAACATAAACTGGGCGAGGGTTAAAGCCTTAAATGAACGTTACAGGGAGATCGGCGCACATCAGTTACCACTTTGGACCATGACATTTGTTTCGGCTGCTCAAAGCCCTCTTCCTTAAGTATAGTTCAAGGCCAAGATACCAGATGTCTGACCTTAATGACTGTGTTTAAAATATAAAGCAAAGAGAGACTTTAGAGGAAGTGATAACTACCCTTCACAGACAATGTGTACACACCAGTTGAGTTTCACGTGTCTCTAGTACACGTGCATTATACACAAACTGTAACAGCGCACTCTAAAACTATTAATATTTATGTATATGTATGTGTGCATGCATGTGTTTAAGGGTTTGTGTATATATTAATATTCATAAACACATACATCCAAGCATCTAGAGAATGAATAAAAAGCTACCCTGAAATTATATGCATTATATTATTATAAGAAAATTAGACAACACACAATCGCATAATACTATTTTCAGTAACAAAATTAAGACATGTTTTCTTAATTTATGTTAATTCTAAAATGATGATTATATTAAACAATGATAAACTGAATTAAAAGTATCTTGCTCACCTCTTACTGTAAGCTTGCTGTATAGTTGTGAATTCACTTCCTTGTCTCGCTGAAAACGCCGAAATTCATCAATTGCTTCCCTCATGATAGTAACAGCCAAGACAAACCCCTTTAAACAAAATAAAGTACTTGAGAAAACTGGACTTCAACGAAAAGGGAAAGTTCTTTTACTGTTTAGCTTTACTTTTTTTCGTTCAATTTATATTAGTTGTAAAATATACAATAAATGAAAAAAAAGACAAAAAGTAACAAACACTACAAAAGGAACATAGTAATGCAGAGTGAAAGATTTACAATTCTTACTATACCCCAGAAAACTTAAAAAATTCACACCTTAATATGTACTTCAAGCTAAACATCAGAAAATATTTAATAACCCAAAGAAAAAGAAATTAATCTTCAATAAACCCATGAATTATATTTAGAACACTCAGGCATTCAAATATCACATTAACAAAGACTGACACAAAAATCTTACAATACGTGCACTTAAATCTTTCTGACAGAATAAAAGCATTTAGGAACACAAAACAATTCCCATATATGACACTTACACATCAACTTCCTTACATCATGCATTACCATGCAAATGCATTTGAGAGCACAAGTATGGCCACAGTGCTCTTTTTCTCTCATTTTGTTAAGCAAAAACCTGAACAGATGAGTTTGATGCTATCGAAATAAAACTTCTGTATACTTGTAATCTATTGTGAAATCTGTTACTAACACATGGCTAACGTCCATCTTTTTTAAAGGCTACATGTGTATTTTCTGACACACAATACAAGAATATTCTTCAAGTTCCCTATGATTAAAGAGAGACCTCTTCAGTAGGCTTCATTTTAATGACAAACATGCTCCAGCGTACCATGTAAATTACACAACACTGGATGAATTTCCACTGAAAGTACAATAATCTCTTATTCCAGGTTTATTGTTTTGGGGTTTTTTTGAATTAAAAGAACACCTTTGTTTATTGACACTGAAATTTAAATTTTATATAATTTTTATATGTCATAGCATATTATTCTGCTTTTGATGCTTTTCAAACATTGAAAGTTTAAAAACCATTCTTAGCTTTCAGACTGTACAAAACAGAGGGAGGTCCAGATTTGGTCCATGGTTTGCCATCCCTGCTTTTATTTATTTATTTTTAATTTAATTAACTAATTTATTTACTTATGGCTGCGTTGGGTCTTCGTTGCTGCACCGGCTTTCTCTAGTTGCGGCGAGCAGGGGCTACTCTTCATTGCGGTGCGCGGGCTTCTCATTGCGGTGGCCTCTCTTGTTGCAGAGCACGGGCTCTAGGTGTGCAGGCTTCAGTAGTTGTGGCATGCGGGCTCAGCAGTTGTGGCTCGTGGGCTCAGCAGTTGTGGCTCGTGGGCTCTAGAGTGCAGGCTCAGTAGTTGTGGCGCACGGGCTTAGTTGCTCCGCGGCATGTGGCGTCTTCCCGGACAAGGGCTCGAACCCGTGTCCCCTGCATTGGCAGGCAAATTCTTAACCGCTGCGCCACCAGGGAAGTCCACCGTCCCGCTTTTATTGTTTTATATATTTTTAATTAATTTTTATTGGAATACAGTTGATTTATAATGTTGTATTAGTTTCTACCGTACAGCAAAGTGAATCAGCTCTACATAGGTTTTTTTCTGTCTAACCAATAGGCTAAAGTAAGTAGGCCTCTGGAGAATGTTTCTTGTGTTTACTGAAGTGCAGTCCTCTTTAAGCAGTTGTGCCTGAAGGCTGGTGTGAGGCTCCAGGCTCAGTGCACACGGCCCAGTTCTCCACTCACCCAGTAGCCTTCAGTCTTGACGTTCATGGTACAGGCACCACCAGTAAGCAGCGTCACTACTGCTCTCTGACTCTCAGTGTCACCACGGATCACCACCTGCTGACTGTGCTTCCCAGCACACCTGAAGCCTGGACCACTCTCAGCGGCAATGTGGGAGCCTGGCCCAGGCCCCCTTGGTTCTCACGGCCACCATCACTACTGGGCCAGCCTCCCACCTCCAGCCTCATCCCCCTCAAAGTCATCCCTCCACACAGTTCCCAAAGTATCTTCTGCAACATAAATTTGACAAATATGTGGCAAAATCCTCCTCCAGGGATGGGCCCCAGCAATTCACGAGACCTCAACAGTCCCCACTGTTTACGCTCCTTCGCTAAAGCACAGACTTAAGGACAGACCTCTAGCCTTGTGGCCCACTCAGTGCCGCCTTTATCCTCCAACGCCAGGACACGATCAGCAGCCTCCTGCAACAGCACGACGCCTCCCATCCGGTCTTTGCCAGTGTCTTTCCAGTGGTTGCTAAAAGCACTACTTTAAGAAGTATTCCAAAGCTACTCTTGGAATCAGAAAGAGAAGCCGTGAACAGCAGTTGCTGGTGGGCCCCACCCGCAGAGAGGAAGGCAGGCACGGCACGTGCCAGGGGTTTGCCATCACCGCCTGAAGACAGCTGACGATGGGCAGTGTGACCCTCACGTAGCAGGACCTTTAGCACACATTTTTTTTTTAGTAACAGTTTTGTTGAGATTAATTCACATACCCTAAAATGCTTTTAAAGCATGCATGTCACTTGTTTAGTTTATTTACAGAGCTGTGCCTCCATCACCACCATCAAGTTCTAGAGCCTATTTATTTATTTATCACCCCCAAAAGAAACCCCAACAGCAACCAGCCCCCATTCCCCCTCCGGTCCCCGCCCTGGAAACCACTAATCTACCTTCCGTCTCTGTGGATTTGCCTATTACGGGTGATTCGGTAACCTCGACGTTTAGCTTCCTGACAACAGCCAAACTGTTTTCTAAAGCGATTACACCAATTTTCATGTGTTTATTGCCCATGTGTATATCTTCTTTGGAGAAATGTTAATTCAGATCCTACACCCACTTTATAACTGGGTCAACTTATCTTTTAATTGTTAAGGTGGAAGAGCCCTTTATATCATTCTGCATACAAGTGCCTTGTCAATTATGTGACCTACAAATATGATGTTACAAACACTTTCTCCCACTCTGGGTTATCGTTTTACTTTCCTGATGCTGTCCTCTGATGCACAAAAGTTTTTAGTTTTGATGAAGTCCAACTTACTCAAGTTTTTTCTCTTGTCACTTGGGCTTTTAGTGTCCAAGATCACAAAGATTTACTTCCATGCTTTCTTCTAGGAGTCCTACAGTTTCAGCTTCATTTAGGTCTATGATCCATTTTAAGTGACGTTTTGTGTATGCTATGGTAGGGGTCCAACTTCATTCCCTCCCACGTGCTGTCCAAACGTCCCAGCACCATCTGTTGGAGGCTACTCTTTCTCCATTGAACCGTCTTGGTACCTTGCTGAAAATCCATTTGTCATAAATGTTTATGTCTGGACTCACCATTGTATCCTTTGATCTACATACCTATCCTTCTGCCAGTACCACATTCTCTTGATTACTACAGCTCTGTAAGAAGTTTCAAAATGGGGAAGTATGAGTCCTACGACTTTGATCTACTTTTCTAGGTTGTTTTGGCTACCCTGGGACCCTTCCATTGTTGCATGAATTTTAGAATCAGCTTGTCAATGCCTGCAAAAGAAGCCAAATGGGATTTTGATTCAGATTGCGCTGAACCTGTAGATCAGTTTGGAGAGTCCTGTCATTGTAATACTAAGTCTTTCAATTCTTGAACATGAGATGACTTTCCATTTACTTATATCTTAATTTTTTTCAAAAATGTTTTATAGTTTTTGATATGCACTTTAGCTAAATCTATTCCTTTTTGATGCTGTTATAAACAGAATTGTTATCCTAATTCCATTTTCAGATGATCATTGCTAGTGTGTAGAAATACAAATGATTTTTGTATATTTATCTTGTACCCTACAGCTCACTAACCTGTTCCAATATTTTTGTGTGTGCATGGGTTCCTTAGATTTTCCTATACACAAGATCATGCCATCTGCGAATAGAGACAGATAGCTTTTCTTCTTTTACATCTAGATGCCTCCTATTTCTTTTTCTTGCCTAACTGCACTATTCATTTTACCTTCAATAAAATGTTGAATGGAAACAGTGGGAGTAGCCATCTTTGTCTTGCTGCTGACCTTAGGGGGAAGCATCCAGTCTTTTACTATTAAAAGTATGTTAGCTGTGCAAAGTACAAAATTTTAATAACGAGAGAGATTTCTACATTATGACCAAGTATCTCCATACTAGAGGGAAGTATGTGCTCTAGGGACAAATGGCCAGCCTCTCCAAAGCTGGTGACTTGTCATGACAAAGCAGTGATGAAATAAAGTGGTCATCAAAGAAACTGTTAGTTGGGGGCAGAGAAGTACTCTTATCTTGAATGCAAATTCATCATTTTATTAGAGCTAGGGTTAGCAAAGGTAAGACAAAAATAAAATAAAATAAAAGCATCAAATATCAAAAACATTAGCTTTAAGAAATTTAGTATTATCAAAAGCCTTAAAATTTATACACATATTAACCAAGCAGCTTCACTTCTAGAAACTTAGCCTAAAGAAAAAAATAAAATAAAATCAAGGATCCCAGCACTGAATATGAAAAAAATGGAAACCTGAAAGTCCATATAAGAAATTTATGATACTCTATATGATGAAATATTTTATTTCCCTAATTCAAAGATGCTGTTGATTTTAAGATGCACCATTATTGGGACTTCCCTGGTGGCGCAGTGGTTAAGAATCCGCCTGCTAATGCAGGGGACACAGGTTCAAGCCCTGGTCCAGGAAGATCCCACATGCCATGGAGCGACTAAGTCCATGTGCCACAACTACTGAGCCCGCGTGCCACAACTACTGAAGCCCCCGTGCCTAGAGCCTGTGCTCCGCAACAAGAGAAGCCACTGCAAGGAGAAGCCCGCGCACCGCAACAAAGACTAGACCCTGCTCACCACAAGTACAGAAAGCCCGTGCGCAGTAACAAAGACCCAACACAGCCAAAAATAAATAAATAAATAGATAGATTTATTAAAAAAAAAGATACATCATTATTAATTTAGTAACAGTCCTGGTGGGAAGACAATATCACTTTAAATACATAAACTGTTTTATAAGTCACAATTTCAGTAACATGAAAACTATGCATCTATGAATCCAAAAATACAGTTCTATG